TATCTTAACAGTTAACAAACATTCAAAAGCATCATTTCATTACATACATATAAAGCAGTATCATCTCAAATGATATACTTATAATAAAAAAGCAAGAGGAAAAAAACCTCTCGGATAAGTTTTTATTTACTGACATGCATTTCTGACAACTGTTGAGGTTCAAAGAACGAAGGGTGGAAGCTATAAACCATTTTAAACATGGGGTTGAATCATAGACTGTCGATAAAATATTGATATACCTAGACTCGTATCACCCAGTGCCATTAGACTAGGAATGTGAGGTTTCGGTGTTACTGTTTTTAGCCACTGCTATGTGGAACCATGATCATATTTGGATGAGTTTGGAGTCCTAGCTTTGTTAACAGGCCGTCTCTATAAACTGTGCAAGTGAAACACGGAGATGTACACATGCTACTCCAAAGGACTTAATTTGTTAAAAGTTATAGTTAGCCGTGATTTTACTGTGGTAATTCCTTCAGAAATGTTCCAAAATGTACCACCAGCCTGAGGCTTATAATGCATCGCTTGCCTAAAACTGCCTGTTTGGGACACGTGCAAATAACAGGAGCCACACCGTATACGTTAAAACTGAAATAATAATATTAATAATAATCACCACACAGCTGTTATGAAAGTGCTAACTATTCATAGAGGTTCAGGATGTAAACATGCCGTTTACCCTGTAAAACTGTTAAATTTTAACAAGTGGCCGCTAGAAAAACAGCTGTTTTTGGCACTTCCACATTGGTTTCATTTTGTAGTTCTGAAGGCTGCTTCTTACCTTAAACTAACAGTTTAAGCTCTATGGATAAATTATTTTAGAATAAAACATAAAGATCGGGAATAGGGAGAATTGGAAAAAAAAACAAAAAAAACATTAAACACTGTGTGTAAATGGTGATACAGCATGTGCACCCATAAAACAAATGGCATAGTTGCACTTTTATCATCTAGAAATCTTTGCATTTACATGTTTGTGGCCCTTATGTTGTGTAATGTTTTCAGACATAGTTCTTTTATTTTGCTTACAATTCAGTATCTAAAAGGAAGTAGCCATTAAATGATAGTGAATACAAATTTTCCATGTGGTGGTGTTTACCTGGAATTGTACACATACCTCCTGATACGTGTGTTCAAGTATAACGTTCAACCACTAAAATTACTTGTTCAGGATTGCAAGTAAATAACTGTAATTTGGCATTTTAATCAAAAAACGATCCTGTGTTTTATTATTATTTTTCAGGGTTTTTTTTGTAAAATGGTAAGTCTGAAAATTTGCAAATTACAATATTTGTATTATGCTGTTAAAATATCATTTCAGTTAAAGAGTGTGCGCTTATCGGTGGATTAACCATTACTGAAACATAAACAATAATTTTGGTAATTACCAATACTGTTAATTTAGGACAGCTGTGGCATAAGCCTTACTTTGGGTGGTGTTCTCTCTAATATCTGTAGATCTGTGGTTTACAGTACTGTGCTTACTCACATTTCAACCTGTCTGTTGTGTCACATTAATTTTGTTCAAGCTAAATGTCTGAAAACCCAAAAGACTTTGTAAAAATAAAAGACCTGGACCAGTTTAATTTCACAGCTGGTACATCCCCAAAAGAGTTGAAATCTACATGGGACGTCTACAGTGTCATTTAGTTTCTTGGATCACGGTGCTCATGTCTCACTGCTATTGAACGGAAACACATCTAGCAGGGAGACCCAGCTTTTTATAGATAAACTGAAAAATGTTGTCTTTTTTCGCTCTCGTGTTGCTTTTTGACTCTTTAATTCATCTTCATGTCACTACATGCTTGCAGCTGATCCAGATTATACCTGTGGAGGGGATGTGCATACTGATTTTTTTTCCCCCTTTCCCTTTCTGTCTGCACACTCTCATCCCAGATTTGTGAGTGGCATGTGTCCCTCCATCTGGCACTCACATGCATTGCATACGGACATTGCATAATGGCCCGGGCCTTAGTAATGCAGCACCCCAGCACTACTCGAGCATGTGAGGAAGTGACAAGGGGCAGAGAAACAAACTGCTTATGTAAAAGCATTAAGAAGACCAAGCAGCTCCAGCCGCATTTGTTCACCCTGTGGGAAGATGAGGGGGGAAAAACAGAACTCATTCTCATTAAAAAGTAAAAAAAACATGCAGTTACAGAGGAATTAGCTGGAACCATGAATTACTCTCCCACTTTTTAAAAACTAAAGGGCGTGAGCTGCGTGTGTGGTGCAGTGTGCATTCTCAGGTTAATTCAGATGCGTTATAGATTGATAATATTTGACAGATAAAGAACTTGGTTTGAATTTTACTGCTGAAAAAATACATTTTGAAATAAATTTCAGTATATATTTCCTTTGTGGATATGGATACAGTTCCAAGGGATTATTTTAACTTGAACATCCATCCGTGTTCTCATCCTGGTCTGAGTTGTGTGGGCATCAGTCTAAGCATGATCAGGCATTTCTTTCCCTAACACTACCCCCTTAGTCTTCCTTGAGGGTTACTGAGGAATTCCAAAGCCAGCTGAGAGATAATCTCTCCAGCCCGCCCTAGGTCTGCCTTCAGGGCTCCTCCAAATTAGACGTGCTTGAAATATCTTTCCCAGAATGCATTCAGAGGCATCCTGGTGAGATGTCTGAACCACCTCAGCTGGCTTCTTTCCATGTGGAGGAGGAACAGCACTCCTCTGAACCCTAACCCTAACCCCCTAACCCTAGCCCCTGGAGCAGTTATTATCCCCTGCTCCAGGTCATAGCTGAGAACAGGAACGTATATGAACCAGGAAATGGACAGCTTCATCAAGGTCACAATGAATACATCCGATTAGAGTTTTCCACGTTTTCTATACAAATGCCAAACCCTAACTGACCAAATTCCCATATGTTTCAATTCAAAGCTTACAGGCTGTATATAAATACTTAGTGGTTTCTGGACTTCATATTTTAAAGTGACAGTATTAGTGTTTTGGCTGCTGCCATTTTGTTTTGTTGGAGCCCGAAGGACCGAGAGTGTGTGGGTGTCACTTTAAGTGATCAACCAAAGGCTAGCAGGCTTGGTTATTAGCCACAAATTAAACGGTTGTCACTCACACAAAATTCATATCTGCTCATTTTTGCAACTTCATTATGCTCCAAAAGGCACCAACAGCACAAACGCGGTGTAGACGCTCAATTTGGTGGAGGTGATGCTTGGCAGACAGCAGTTGGCTGTTATCCAGGCAGATGAGTTATTTAAAAAACAAACAAACACACACGCACTTAAAAAAAACTGTCTTACCTGGCTGTAAAGTTGGACATTTTAACATGGGGGGTTGACTTGCTTTAAACAGCTGCTAGAGGAACTGGACTTTTTGGCACTTCCACCTTTTATTATCAGGTTACAGTTAGCACGGAGCTCCTCAAATCATCCATCATTTGTTTATTTAAACTGTTAAACTTTGATTTCACAGGCTTTATTTCACAAACTGTTACCTGCAGTATTTTCAGCACCATTATGCTGGTAGGTATCTGGCCAAAAAATAGTTTGCTACATAACTCGCTTTCTAACCAGTCATCATTGTCCATGTGCCGGGTGTTCACAGGTGTGATTGCTTGTTTAGTTTTTTCACGTTTGCACATGTGTTAGTCATAAGTACGCACACACATTCTTCAGTGTGGATTGGATCAGTGTTCCCCGTGAGATTACTGTAAAGTGTTGGATTATGATAAAAACGACTGTCACTCTGCTCTGTAAATTTTGCCCTCGGTCCAGCCACTGCTCTTAATCTGTGGCTCATCAGACAAAAACAGACATACAGGGTGAACTCAAAAGAAACCCCTCTCCTCATTTTTTTCCCCTCCTCTCCCCGCATGTTGCCGTTATCCAGTGTTTTTAAAAATAGTCTTGCTATTTCTGTGTCTCCCCTGCTGCGCTCCTGGCATTTTTTGCTCCCCCCTCTTGGAGTGCTGAGGGATTTTTCCTGCTCAGTGAAATCTGCAGCAGCTCTCATGGCAGGACCATCCAGAGCCGTAATCCAGACATACAAGCAGCTTGAATATAAATTCTGTCAAGAGTTTGCATTGGCTGGCAGCTCATCAAGAGGTCACAAAGATTTATTTATTTATTTCAAACCTCTCAGGACATGGCAGCCTGCTGTCATCTGGTGACTCGGGGATGGCAAGATACATTTAATCTGCGTGCGTGCCGAGGGTTTGTATCAAAGTGGGAGGGAGGAGAGGGATGCATGCAGGGAAGAGTTGGGGATGGATTATTGAAGTTTACTAATGGGACTGAATGGTTGCAAAACCATTGTTAAACAATTATTAATCCACAAATTCAGAATACTGAGGATGAAATCACATTTTTGAGAAGTGAGTTGCAGACTGCAAGTCAAGGCATTATCTGACTCTCAGGTCCTGTCTTGCACCTTTCGCCTTGTGAAAGTCTGTCACTTTGGTTTGTGGAAACTTGTTGTGCAGCCAGCCAATCACAAAAGAAAAATCAACTGGGTCAGATGAAGGTGTGAATTTGGGCTTGAAAGACACACACACACACACACACACACACACACACACACACACACACACACACACACACACACACAGAAGCCAGATACATTTGGCTTCTCCAGTGAAACATGGGTGTGAAAACGTGCTGTGGCATCACATCTGTTCTTGTGCAAATCTTGAACTGCAGACTGACTGCAGCTTAAAGTTGTCTGGTCATTGCTTTGTCATTAATAATCTTCGTCCATTAGAGGTTAGCTCTGGTATTGAGGGGTGTGTCATCATGTGATTTGTTTTTTTCTTTTTTTTTCAAAGTAGATGGATCTGTCTGGGTGTAAATGGTGAGAAAACTAAGCCTGGATGGGGGGATTATAGAAGAAGGGGGTGGGGAGCATGCATGATCTGTCAAGGCTTAGTACCACAATTATCCCAGCGGCTGCAGCAGCAGTCACAGCAGCAGCGGCGGCGGCGGTGGTGGCAGAAGCTGCATTTTCATTAGTGTAATGTCCAGAGAAGCTCGAGAATTATGTAAGAGTGACGTGTTGTTATCCCCTCTCGGCCAGCCCACCTCCTGGCAGGAACGTGGCTGTTTGTTTTCCTTTCATCCTCGTTCGCTTGGAAAAGCCAAAAGGACATCTGTGGGAGTCAGCGGTTGAGGACAGGACCCTTAGTGGTCACGCCGCGGGAACCGCGCAGCACTGGACGCTCAATCTGTGGCTCAGTCTCCTGGAGAAAGTGATGCACTGAGGCGCAAGAACAGACAAGTTTGATGATGCCAAAGGAGATGAGTAGACACTCATCACTTCAGGTTGGGATCAGGGAGTGTAGCAGCAGTTAGTGATGAGGTCCATGGGATGTTCATAAAGGAGAGTTAGAAGATGAAGTTTAAGAAGTTCATCACGATCATGCAGGCAGCGATGGGGATTGTACCCTTAAACAAACGGGAGCTGCTGCCACCAGGCAGGAAACTGTGGAGACCCCCAGGGTGAGTTTGATTACTGTACCGTACCGGTACTTGTATTGGATGTTTCCTTCTAGAAGATGGATTTTTATATCCTGCTGTTGCAGTTCAGTGGGGGAATCAAAAGATTTCTGAAGAAAAAACAGTTTGGTGGTCATGCAGATAATTCTATTGTTAGTAGTTTCCCAAGCAAGAAGGAAGGCAAAGGTATTTTATTTCATTCACACAGCACAGAAACTGTGTTTCAGTTACTCACCATAATCCTTAAAGGCAGAAATCTGTGAGGCAAATATATCAACATTGTGACCATCTGGGCCACTAGCTGCCACGAGGAAGGGGGAGGAATCGGACAGGTGGATTGTAAACACAATGCATGACACATTCTTCTCACTACAGAGAGACACAGTGATGTAATGTGGAAAGTAATTTTCTTTTAAAGAAAGACCCGTGTTTGTGTTGTGTCCTGCATTTGGCAGGAAATGTTTTCTTTTTAAAACTTTGTTTAAAATCATTGTTATGTAGTCTTTTTTTTTTTTCAATAATTACTTATGTACCAATCAACAAATTGCTTCAGTTTAGTATTTGCTTTATTTACCAGCCTCAGTAATTATTGCAATACACTATTCTTCCAAGTTAAACTCACACACCTCGACTCGAGCAGCGACCCATAACAAAGGGAGTCAGGAGTAACAATTGCACATTATCGCCCAACCCTAATGTGGAACCCCGCCCAGGCTACAACTATTGTAGCAGCATTTTCAGCCTCTTTCCTTTTACACTTCAAAGAATTTCTTATCGTTTGTATCGTGACAGCCAAATTGTCACCACTGTCTCCAAACAGTTTAAAGTTGATTAAAGTTTCAAAGTAGAAACCTCCTCATCCTCTGTCTTTGTAGCTTTTTCTCCTGCATTTGTATTGATACATTTCAGTTTGTCATGCTGAGCGACTAACTT